CTAACAAGAAAAATCTTTCTCATTTCATTGCTCAACTTCAGTTCGTTCTACCCATTACAGCAGGTTCTAACTGGGAGGCAGGCCTAAGGGAACACGGTCTATCATAGCACAAGCACTGAGGAATGTCAGGAATGATTTATCTGTTTGTACACTAGCACCACGACTCATTACCTGATAATTTGATCTACCTGAGAGATTCTCAGAAGGTAGTTGCAGACAATACGTGTGTTATAGCAACAGGGAGCAAACAGGGAGCACATATTCAAATGCAGTTTTAAGACTTGGATGGGGAGAATCCTTTTAGGACTGTCCTGCCCACAGCAGTCTTTAACAAAGAAGGGAGCTGGCTGAAAAGAGGAGCTGTTTTTGCATCAGGTGGGATCTTATTATGAATGTGCATAAGGTACAGATAAAACTCAGAAGGTTTTAAATGTACATAAGAACAGTAGTGCAGAGTAGACAATTTAGTCTCCATTTTAAACAAGAAATGATTTGTTTAAAGCATGAGATGAAATCTCACTGTAAAATCTTGCAGATATTTATCTTCTCAGTTTATCTTCACAACACTAACAAGTGAAATTAGGGGCTTTAACAGCCCTATGATGGTTATAAGAGTTGCAGCGGCAGCTGTAGACAGGAACAGCAGACATTTATTTGTCTTCAAGTGGAAAGTCTTTCTAAGACAGAAAAATATCAGAGTCTTCCCTGCCTTTGAAATTCATATTCACCATTTGCTGCTTAGTTGTAGGCACAAGTGTTGACAATTTGGTATCAGCCTGGATTTTTCTAGTTGCCAGTTTCTGCATGCTAGCTACAGTCTTCCCACCACCACCCCCTTTCTTACTTTTAAGCAAGGGGGGATTTTTATTGCTTTTCATTGTGCTTTTTTCGGAGCCTTGTTTTGTCTCAGTATCATGACAAAGATGCACTTAAATTCTTAAGGTATAAGGTGTAAGTTGAACTCGAAGAATGTTTTCGCTGACCAGTCTGCAGATGAAATGGTGTGAACTCTATTAAGCATTCAAGTATGCCTAAAAAACCCTGAAAACTTCACAAGAGACATATTTCTTAGTAATCCTCCAGAACAGTATTAATCCTTCTTACTATTGCAGTCACTGAAGCCCAGAAAAGGTTCTTGAACTGTTCCATCTGTAAATTTATTTACTCTAGAAGTTCATCGACAAAGCAACTGATTTCCAGCTGCCTAACTTGTAATGATTGATCACAAGTAACTTGAATTTAATTATCTATTTTCCTTAACTGCCTTTCTGACTAGCCCTGGTGCCAGAGGAAGGAATAAAAGATGTTGGCAGTCTAAAAAAATTAATTCTGGCCTTGTCTACCATCTGGTACTTCTGAGGCAGCCAACAAAAGGACATGCAGACAATCATAATGAAACGCTATTGAGAAGAGGTGCTCAAGCTTCAAGGGCATAAAGACGTATAAATGAAACTTGAAGAAAAAGGGTTTTTTTTTGCTAGAACCTGCAATGGATTCAGTGTCCTATGTACCAGACCTCTTCCATAGAGATTAAGACTACATTTCATATAGCAGAAATTAGCAAGATTTGACAGTTATAGCAAAAATAAATAAATCTTTCCATGTTGTAATTTTTTGCTCCTCAGGCTAGCAGTCTCTTTTCTATAGCACAAGTTTCTTATCAATATTTTGGTTCATGAGCAACAACTTCGTGCAGTCACAAAGGCAGTTTGGTGATCCCTAACAAATTCCACCACGTCAAATCAAAGGTATCATAATTAATGATTTATCAAACTTCTGAATCTTAGAATTGCACAGTTAGGTTCTCTGAACCGCAACATGGTTAACCACAGCCAGCGGGGCTCAGCTACAGCTCTTTGAAGCCACATACATAAAAGGGATCCATAAGCTCCAGCAGGTTAAGGAGGGCTCACACCACCATACCTCAATGACCCAGTGACTGATTAGAAGCCAAGCACCTCACACTGGCCAGAGGAAAATCCCATTTTTCTCGCTTATTCCCATCTCGTGGAAACCAAAGAGCTGTTTTTTTTTTTAAGCACATGAAACTGCTGAACATGAAAGTTGTGGTAGAAAGCACCTCAGCAGTTGCCAAACACGGTACGAATCATTCCTACGATAGTTACCTCCCAGTCTCATCACACCTTTGCAGTTATTTTAAAGATTTTGTTTTGTGTTTCTGCATTTATCTTTCTTACCGGGACAAGTATCGTATTTGAAGAAAACAGGAAATTTTAATGATTAGGAACAAGAGGGTGTCTGCATACAGGGAGGGCATCGCTCCCCCGCATCAAATCTGTCACGGGCCATCGTGGGTGCCACCTCCCCGGGCTCACATTTGAGCTGCTGTCCTGCTGTCCCTTGCACACCACACGAGCTGTGTCTCTGTCCCCGGCTGTCCTGCTGTCCCTTGCACACCACATGAGCTGTGCCCACAGAAACACACCTCTGCTCCTAGGCATTTTTGACTTGAGTGTACAGGCTTTTTACTAGATTGCAATTTCCTGTGTTTTTCATCACTTTTCTGCTTCTCTTTTGCACTTTTTGTCCTATTTGTCAGGCATGCCAAAGAAAAAAAATGCTTTTAAAATCCTGGACTTGTCAGTCTCAGTAATTCCCAATTTTCCCTTACAAATAACACAGGAGGTTTGGAATAAAAGCTGACACCATCTCAAGATCTTTTTTCAACTACAAAGACCCAGGTTTCGATCTTCACTCTCCCCTTGCAGACCTGCAGATTCCCACAACGTCTCTTGCTCTCCAGCAGCCTGGCTGAACCTGGTTTTAGACACTACTGACCCAGTTAAAAGTCTCCAAATCCTACTCCTTCACAACTGTTGGTCCCAGGTACTGGCATATATAAATATTTGATGCATGCAGCTTTCCTACCCATCCTGCTGCTTTAACCTGCACTAGTTGGCCCACAAGCTCTCATTTATTTTGTGGCCATGAAATCCTCTCTGTCTTTCATTATTCAAGTATCCAGCTACTTTTACGCCTCCAGGAGCATAAGGTCCCGCTGAGGGTCCAGCGGAGCGTGAGGAGGTTTGGATAGAAAGGAAACCAAAAAGCCAGCTTTAGATTCCAGCTGAATTAAGCTACTCTGCTGTGACACTGGTTTCTCAAAATACTTCATGAATTTCCCTACCCCATCTGCATCACTGCTTATTACTAGTTTATTTTGGCATAGTCTTTCCTTTCTACCTGGAAATTAAATGGAAAAAGCTCCCAAATAGCCCAAGTTTCAGTCTGTTTTCTGTCAGAAACCACATACTGCTCAGTCTAACATTTTCAGGCAGATTAACCATGGGCATCTCTCTTAGGGCACTGGCACCACCACTAATGTCAAAGGAATAACATTATAAGGAGTTTGTGCCAATCCTTGGAGCTCTTGTTCTGGAATATGGACCACAGCTGGTTTATCTAGTTAAGGTGGTCTTTGCTGTCACTCTCCTGTCCACATTTTAGCAGTATGAGGTTGACCGTCCCTCTTTGGTTTTGGCCTTAGGTTGACCGTCCCTCTTTGGTTTTGGCCTTGTCCTGTGTTGCCTCCAGCACGATGTGTCCTGTGCAGGGTACGAGGGACCTCTGGTGGTGGCTAAGCAGCCAACTGGCCACCCTCAGCCATCAACCCTGTTCCAACTAGTCCCAGCAGCACATAAAAACTAGACCCGCATTCATTCCCCTTATTACAGGAGCTTCTCATTTAACGCATAAGGCATTAGCTTATAAACTAATATTGCTATAGTTTGTCTTCCCAAGAAAGCCAGCCTCCAGCTATGAACACAAGTCACCCCAAAATAAAACAGTGCACTTTCTCAGTAATATTTTATTAAAAGCTGTCAAGTCTAATGCAGCCTACCAAACAACGGTGCCACAAAAAATAATAGCTGCTGGAAACAGTTCACTTGAGTTCATTTTTTACCTAGATAATACAATTCAGTGGGGAAAAGAGTTAAATCATCCTCCTAAGTCCAAGCTCTGTGTTCTTAACACAAAAAAAATGCTAGATCTGGGAGCCTTTTGCATGTTCGCACTAAATAGCGTTGTTTCCACCTCTAGGAACCTCGTTAGAGCTGATTTCTAGAGTTCCTTCATGAAAGCTGAAGCTAACTGTTCTTCCCTGTGTGACTGAGGGCAATGCTTCAGAGAAGTGACACTCATAGCAAGGACTCAGCCAACCTGCTCACAGGAATCCTGCACGCTCCAGTTGAACAGCAGGATCCATCCTGCTGCTGTTTGAGTCATCTAACACACTGCGTGGCACATTCGACAACTCAGATTATCTATATATATAGTTTGTGTGTATATATACACATATAGAGTGCACTCTGGTCTACAGTTGCCTCAAATTGATGGATTCTGTCACAAGCCAGAAGTGATATTTATAGACTCCCTATTTATCTGTTGATTTTTAGTGACCCCAAAATCTCACCCCACAGATAATCACGAAGCCACACAGCATTTTCAAAAGTGTGCGGTATATTTGAAATTAACATTTATGATTTATGATCATTTAAAAAGGAGAGATATGGTGTCCTGTCGCTAGTCTCCCCAGTCTGCAAGGTGGCTTAAGCATTCCTTCCAAGATCAAATTTAATTTGTAATGTCTTGATGAGCGTCTTAATGTTCTTACAGTCTTAAGAGTCTTACAGAAAAAGAACTTTGAAACTGCATTTTTCCATGAGAACAGCCCCACCATTTGTCACCTGATGTTGAGAGCAAACACAAAACACCAAAGACCAGCTTCTCTGAAGACGTGTCCCTTCCATAAGGGGACAAGCCACCATTGGGCATAGCCTTTTTCCATGCAGGACATTGCTATTGCCAGCCACATCCTTCACCTCGCTTGGCTAGGACCAGCGTCTCACTAACCCCAGCTGAACACGCATCTGCACCTCCAACTATGAGTCATATTTGCTGCTACACATATTTGAGATGCTACCACTGCCCTAAATGCCCCTCTAAGCCAACAACACAACTTTCGCCAAAGAGCTCATCTACGTGGTAGCCCAGGGAAGGCGCGCGGGCACCCACGGGGACAGAACCGGCCCCGGGGCCGCACTCACCGGCGTGCTGCTGTCCGAGAGGGTGTTCATGCTGACGGAGCTGCTGAGCTTGTCGGACGCGGGGGACGGCGGCGAGGGGCTGCGCTTCTCCGGCGCCTCGTGCTGCGGCCCGTCCTGCCGCTGCAGGTAGTCGCGCCATGCTCGCTGGATGCTGCCGGCAGAAACCAGGGCACAGGCGTGGGGGGATGCCCGACCAGAATGGGATTTCAAACACATATTCTAAACTTAAGAGGTCATCCTTGGGTGTTCTTTTTCTAAGCATATTATTTATTTGGAGAGTGTTCACACGTAACTACCCACCATAAGTCTCATCCACTGATAGGAAACTTGAGGTACTTGTTAAGTAGAAGCAATTCTTTGATCTAAATTTCTCAGTTTACAGGAGTAATCTACATTCTAGACTACATTTAACTCAACAGTTCTTTCACATCTTGCAGAGAAAGCAAAACACAATTATCTGTTTAAAAGAATTCAAAATTTTTTAATTATGCAACTTCCAAATTATAATGTAGATACAATTGCAGCTTCAGAGCTGGATCAGCATCCTTCAAATAGTTTCTGTACTGCTATAGCCAGACTTAAAAACTCCTCTAAATCAGCACGCAGAGCTCTGTTTTCAAACGCTAAACTTTGATCAACTCTCTCAAGTCTCACGTAAGATTCTGTAAGGGAAGTCACATTTCAAAAAAGCCTGTTAACATCTTAGCTTAAGAAAAGCTTCATTTTTTTGTGCTGCGGGTGAATATTCACAAGCAATTGACTGATGGGTTGGAGTCTGCAAGGGGCAGAGAGGTGACGGTCCCTTGGAGGGCAGGCTGGAACGCTGGTGGCCTGCCAGCCTCGGCTCCTTCACCAGGTGGCACTGCAATATCGTCTGTGAGGCCGCGAAATCGGGGAGAAATCCAGTTATTAAAGCAGCGCTTACAGTACTAGCAATGGAGGCAAGCGTGTGGCTGCTCGCATAGGGTGATCTGCAGGAAAGCAGAGGTAAATACCATCACAGGACTCAGTTATCTGTATCACTAGGGTGCAATAAGCTATACAGAGCTTCTCTGAGAATTTTTAAGTAATTGAGATTTTATTCCTTTGGTTATTAAGTCAGTAGAACCTTCATCGTGCCCGTTAATCAAGTAGAGGACCTTGACCTTTACCTGCCCTCTAATCTGGGGGCAGCCTGAGGACTGCATTTAATAGCCATGCACAACATCTTATCTCAAGTGCCCAGGACCAGGCCCTTTGCACTATCCCATCTCCTGCTCTTCTCCTGGGCTGGACAGACATACGTCACCCACATAATCCATTTCTGCTTCTTAAACCTCCTCTGGTCTTGTGGTCTGATGGATGGTCTCGAAGCCCCTCTCCTGCTAGAGGGGCCAGTGCAGGTGGCACGTGTGTGACTCCCTGCTCACAGCCCCTTCCTTGGGAGGGCAGGAACACATGCACCAAAGGACTTAAGAGGAAGAATGTGCAGCACATAAGGCCCAGGATGGGGAAGGCAGCAATTCTGACTACTGAGAATAGACACAAGAGGTTTTGTAGGTACCTGAGACATAAGATGCCAGGCTGCACTGCATGGTGCTCATAGCACTTGGGTTTGGGCAAGAAAGCGCTTACCAATGCTCTGGTGGATAGGAAAGCTTCTCTTCCGGAGGTGCCAGGGAATATCCATCCCTTAGACATCCTGTTCAGCTGGTTGCAGTCTCACCTACAAGAGCTAGAGGATTCAGAGCCTCTACTGCTCCTCTCCCAGGCAGTTCTGTAGTGAGGAGGAAGCTGATGGACACCAGGAAGTCTCCATATACCACATGTGTGTGGTGTTGAGGGGCTTGATGAGCCCAGCAGCTCCTCCAGGTGCAGAGGCTCTCACAGCTGAACTCCATCCTAACTTGGGCTCCCCGTGGCAGGACCACCTTGGGAGTCAAAGCCCAGCTGGTTCTGGGAGGCCACAACGAGGATGGGGAGCACAGCAGCTCTTCACTGTGTGCTGGACACCATCACAAGGGAATGAAGATATGGAAAAGAGTCAATGGCTGTTGGTTGTATGACCGTATATGACCACGGTCAGCATGAGGCAAAGGCTCCTGAGTGCAGTTTCTTGCTTCCACTGCAGATTTACAGACCTGCTGTCTGCAGCAGAGGCACCACAGTTCGAGGGAACCCGCTGGAGGCCGTGGTCTGTCTTCAGCATCCGCTGTAGGCCGCAAACAGCCGCGCTTTTCCACTACCTTCTCCACAAGTCAGGAAAATGTTTTAGCCTCCAACCAGGCTGAAAAGGTGTTGGGTTTTATCTTCCTCCATAGCATAGGAAAATGGCACTTTTCAGTGTCATCAGCAGGAGGGCCAAGCTTCACCCTGGGATGTGATCGCTTCCAGATAGCCTTTCCTGGAGTGCTGGCAGCTGCAGGCACCAGGAGGCACCTCTTAGGAGGGGAATTTTCAGGCAGGTTCCCCATTCAGAGGGCATCTGGGACATCTGAAGGCCCAGTGAAGCCAAATACCTATTTTTGTTTATTTTTTAGAAAAGTGCAAGATCAGAAACAACAGAGCCCCTGCCAGGGTATCCCCAGGAAGGGATGCTACAGCCCTGATCAGGTGGGCCAAGGCCCTGCAACAGCTTTAAAAGAGACACGAATATCTGCTGAGGCTCCTGAATGTGCATGTCAATGAAGGAGCTTTCAGTAAACACATTTTTATTTAAAAAAAATCACATCTTCACGCTCAAAGCATTTATACTTTGCATTATTTCAGTTTCATGCCTTACTGCATAATATTTACATGGAGTATTTACATATTTATATTTGCATGTTCTTTCCAATTTAAAGCATGAGACAACAGTGAGTTTGAGGCATAGCTACCTCCTGGAAAAGTCCCTGAAAATTTTTTCTTTCATCTGACTTATATTGGCATGACTAAAGGGCACTGGCTGGATTTTAATTTGAAACTTCATGTCCTTTTAATATTTTAATGCAGCATTAATATTTTAACAGCCTTTATAACAAGTTAGCTGTAGCTTTTCCACAGAAAATGAAATTTGATATGAAAAACAGCAGTGAATAAAATTCTCCATGCAAAGCTACGTCCTTCAGCACACGTCACAGGATTTCTCCTGGAAATAGTAGGGGGTTTCAGTGTAAAGGCAGCCACATTTTTGGTGTAAGAGAAGTTTGTCCTCAGTGATGAGGGTTTCCTGTGCGAGCAGATTCGAAAGTGGGATTCTTTACTTGGACAAACACATGGATAAACTTTAATTTTTGAGCAGAAACTGCATTGCCGAGGCTGCAATGGCTCTGCTTGGGTAGCTGGTGGAGTTTATGTCCAGGAGGAGAAATTTCTGCTTATTTCTTCCCTCCCTGGCGCTGTAGCTACACGCGCTGTATTCACAACACCCTGCCTGAACACTTCACATCTGATAAAGAGCTCCGCACCTGAAAAAATCTGGCAAGTTCTCAAATATTCTCTAAGTTTTAAAGACGAAGTTGCAAAATTAGTGTAACATTTAAGTTTAGCATCTGAAACTCAATTCAAAGAGAATATTCACATGCTTAAAGGTAGATGGGAGCTTAACTACCTTGCTAAATTAACGTTTTTTTATACTTAAAGTCCCAGAGAAATCCCAGATGCTCAGGAATCCAGCAACCCCAGCTGCACTCAGCCACGAAACACCAGTCTTTGCTACTTACATTTTCACTTTTGATTCCAAAGGCTGTAAGTTGATAGGGTATTTTTCAATGTTATTTTCCTCATCCATGGCAAGCTGATGGCTAAGGAAGAGAAAAGAAGATGCTTTCAATGTGTGCATGACGCTTTTGCAATCACTGTGAATTAATTCAGGACTTTTGAGAAGACTGTACATGAGCTGCTTACTTAAAGGTGTTGCAGTCTTTGGAGGGTGGCATCTGGGTCCCCGTTGGGCTGCTAGCAAAGCCTAAGAGTTTGAATCCAGTTTGCAGACTTGGAGCTCTGTGCAATCTCAGCACTAACCCTCCCAGATGCCAGCGCCCCAGAGACAGGCACACCCAGCAAAGAAGCTGCTGCAAATAAAGAAATAAAAAAACAACACTGGCAAATAGAAGAGATATTCTTGCTAAATTAACTTTCACCCCTGAGGCTAGATTTGAAAAGCCAGAGTGTAAAAATGGAAAGTAACAATGGTAGTGCTGGCAGCAAATGAATTACATCAGCAAAAGCCATACAGGAACATGAGGAAAAGAATTCCTTGTGATAAAGGATGACGGGGGAATTGGTGCTGTGAACGGATCATTTGGAAGAAGCAATTCTAAAATGCTAGAAGATAAAAAAAAATCAAATGTTTTGGGACACTGCTTTGGATGGGACTAACAACATGAATGACAGATCTTCGCATGAAAATTTTGTAAGATGAGACCCCAACCTGTGGAGTTATTTTGAGACTTTACTGGACACTTAATTACATCATTCAATCAGCAGCAGTTTTCAGAAATTATCCTCCTGTAACTAAAAAGAAGAATCGTTTATGGGAGAGATGCAAAGTCTTGCGGTATGTTACCAAGCAAAAAACACAGTCTACAACTGGAAGAGGATCCCTTAAAGAGCAGAGGTGACCAATGAGAAACCATCAAATGGACTAGTGAAGTGGCCCCTTTTGCTGGATCATGTTTTGCATCTTTTCTCCTGACTGTGCAGAAGTGACGCCTGGTCCCCCCATCTGCCAGTTCAGGCTCTAGTTGCTCCTCGTGCAGGACAGACGCCACCGTCACCCTGTGTGGGCTACTCGCACTAGAGGCACACTTAACTGCGGCCTTATAAAAGCTATTTCATGTGCGAACCCCCAGATTTACCTTTGAAGTAAAGATTTGCCATCATTGACCTGCTCCAAGGTGTTCTGGAGCCGTCTGAGTTCTTCCTACAAGGAGAGAAACATCATTTCAGTGAGACGGTGGCAACCCAGGTTTGGCACCAGAGACTTGTCCTGGAGCCCGCAGTGCTGCGAGACACCCCTTAATCCAAATGCCCCCTCCCATTTCCAATTTAGACATCCAAAATAACTACAAAGAGGCCACTATATTTATCAGTATGCCCCATACATTGCTATGAAAAGAAATACCAGACCTACAAAAGATGATGGGCAGAGTGAAAGAGCAAAAGAGGGAAGTATTTTTTCTCTTTTATTAGATATGTGGCTGCTTTGATTTGATAGAGGGTCTTGATAAGAGGCAAGCTAGCAGCAGTTCGTGCTTCCAGACATTCCTCTTTGTTCTGCAATCAAACAGTATTCAGCCTCATAATTAAGAGAGTCACTGGTGGAGATGCAGAGCGCGATGTCTTCACCAGCCCATTTGCATCAGCTCCTGCTCTCTGCAGACGACATGCGACGAGTTTAACTCCACACACACTACTGGGTCCTTCCCTCCACATTAAAGGGCCAGGAGAAATCACCCCATGAGTTTCAGCACTCAGATTTGGCTTAAAAAGCAAAATCATTTCTGCACAAGTTTTATTGCTCAGAAGGGGGTGGGAGTAGGGGGATAGACCCCCCCATTATTGGCCTAAAATTGAAAAATGTTATCAGCAATCAGTGAAGAAATTCAGCTGAAAACAAGCCAGGTGAAAACCCCAGATTTTTGAAGCCGATTGTGATTTGTGTTAGTTTATTTTCCTGGTGTTGAAACATGTCCATGGACCAGGTAGCTTTGCAGAGACTGGTAATGCTAGGATGAACGAGACCTCTGAGTAAGACACGAGCCCACAGGGAACCCCAGGCCACGGCACCTCTAGCTCTTGCAACGCGGCGCTCTCCAACCCTTTGCTTTCCAACAAAACCATCGCCGTTCTTTACGAGCAACACGGATCCACCAGCTCCACCTTCCACTTTTTCAAATACAGCTGACGCAGAGGAATTTTACACAGCACTTTTTAATCTCACATGAGGCTCGACACTGTTCAGCATGAACCAGGCTCATGCTTGGAGGCTGATTTACTTCTAATGCAACTTTCATTTCCTCACAGTCTCGGACGGGCTGTGCTTGCAAAATATGTTTTATGCATTAACTAGATTTGTGAAGCTGAGAAGTTAGATTTTCCCCTGTTTTTGCCCTGTCTTTGGCCCTCTGGGTCTCTCACTGTTGCCCCATTTCCTTGACAAGCCAGAAGGACTCATTGCCACTCACCACTAACCAACATCTGCAAATAACCAAATAACCTGGTCATGAAACTCTTTTTGCCCTCCCTTATGGCTTGTTCTGAGGAATATGCTCTTCTTGAATATTAAAAAAAAAAAAGGGCCAGAAAAACCTCCCAAATTGTTTTCTCTGAAGTACAGTTCAGCTCAGAAGAAAACCTTTTATTTTCCTTATTATTCCACTGGTCATTTTTTTTTTAGTATATCCCAGAGCTTGGAAAGGTAATTCAGAATGTGAAAACAATTTGCAATTGACTTTATATATAGCTTTGGGTGACAAAACCTGCATGACTTACATAAATCATTTTTTGTGTTTGACATCATTTTCTATTAACCCAAGGGTGAAGACTGAACAACAACAACAACGAAGTAAAAAGTAAAATTGGTTGTGACATTTTTGACTACTCAATCTTTCAATTAAACATCGCCAAACATTCTTTATAAAAGCTGTAATTCAAGGCAACGACAAAAGGGGCTAGTAATGTTTGCATAATTTGGAAGAGAAGACGACATAAAATCCATACTAATTTCAGTTTTGCGTCATTAAACATGAAGTATTGATTATTGCTCCTTGCAGCAAGATTTATGCAGCCAGCTCTGCTGCTGTGTCCACACAAAGCGCTGCTGCTGTTTCACCCCCGGACCCGAGCGCAGTAAATGAT